TGGAAGACTGACCCTACCTGGCTTCACAGTGACCGTAAAGCTACCTAATCAAGGCAGTGTAGTACTAGCATAAGGGTATACATATAGATTGCTGGAACATGTAGAGAGGGCGGAAGTAGACCTACACATATGTAGTCAGTTGACATATGTGCCAAGATAATTCAATAGGGAAAAGACTATCTTTTTCAATTTATGGTGTTCAAACAGCTGGTTACATATATATAACTAACTCTAAATTTAAGTGTAAGAGCTCAAACTATAAAACTTGTAGGAGAAGATCTTTGTGATTTTGGCTTAAGCAGAGATGTCTTAGATTGCACAAAGCATGAGCCATAAGAGAGAGAAAAATTGATAAACTGAACTTTATCAAAAGTGAAATGTCTGCTCTTCAAAAGACACTTAAGAAATTAAAAGGCAAGTCACAGACTGGGAGACAGTATTTGTAAAACATCTTTCTTATAAAGGCATTGTATCCTAGATATATAAAGAACTCTTAAACTCAGGACTGGTGGTCTGATTTTTTTTCTTAATTAAAAAAAATTTTTTTTTTAATTTCAGATTTTATTTTATTTATTTTAATTTTTATTTTATTTTTCTGCAGCTGGCCGGCATGGGGATCCAAACCCATAACCTTAGTGTTATAAGGCTGCACTCTAACCAACTGAGGCCAGCCTAAATTTCAGATTTTAAATGGCCAAAAGATGTGAACAAACACTACACCAAAGAAAATATCCAGATGGCAAATATTCACATGCAAAGATGTCCAACATCATTATTCATTAGGGAACTGCAAGTTAAAGTCATAAAAAGACTGGCAGTACCATGTTCTGGCAAGGGTGTGGAGCAGTTTGAACTCTTAATACATTGCTGGTAGGAATGCAAAATGATACAGCCACATTGAAAAAACAGTTAAACATAAACTAGCCAGGCATTTCCTTGGGAAATCTAATGACAGAATTTTTTTTAAGTTCTTTCTTCTTGAACTGATTATATTCCCCAGAGAAAACTCAATCAGTCTCCTGCCTAAAAGAAAAAGGCCAGTTGTCTAGGAGCCAGGTAGGACAAAGCTAGAGGGGGCTCAGAATTCATTATATTCAGCCCCTCCTTAATCCCGTTTTTAGGCCCTCGATCATGCCTAAGTGTACCTTAGCCCAGGGACACATTTTATTCTGCTCAGAGAAGAGATCTCAGATTTTTCTGCTGAGGCTGGGTTTCGGGCAAGAGCAGTCATCTGGCTGATTAGTTGCAGAACAATCTCTAGATCTAATTGCTTCTAAACCAGGCTTTTAACAAGTCCTCATGTTTGCACCACCCAGTTCCCTTGACCAGAGGTGCTGGTGCCACCAGTTCCCTGGGCTTTGAGGGGTTCTGTGTAAACCAGGTTGCTTCTCGGCTTCCTCCACTTTTCTCTTAGGATTGAGTTTTTTAGGTCTGCTAAATCATCCATTTGCTTCCAGCTTCCAAAATTTTGTTGTTGCCAGTTCTACCCCCCATTCATGTGAGTTTAGGTTTTACAGAAAAGTGCTTTAAAAGGAATGAATTGACAGGGTGTGATTAATCCACCATTTTTTCCTGGGGGTCAAACAGTTACAATTGTTAGGAAATTCTCATTTTTGAAAGCTAATACTCTGGGTCTCTGTAGCTTCACCAACTAGTCTTTTTCAGTGACAGACACACAAGTAGCCTTTAGAAAGCTAAGACAGCTACTTAGTGCCCTCTCA